CATCTGTGAGAATCGTATAGTATTTGTTAACAAGATTCCATGGATTATTTTGATCTTTAATATTAATATTTGAAGGAAGATTATCCAAACTGTAATAATCAATTGGCTTCAAATATATATATAAAGCATGAGCAAAACCAAGAAGAATTATAAATAATAAAATGAAAAAAAATCAAAAAACTTTTCTTGTTATGCTAGAAGCTAGAATTAAGTATTTTCCGAAAAATGGAAATACTCTTAATATCGATATAAGTTTTAAATCTAATAGTAAAGCTAAGGAAGAAATCAGCACAATAGGTAGTGTTCTTTCAGTTAACCAGTAAAATGATGCAATTATAGGAAGTAAATAAGATGCTAATACTATTTTTTTTAAAAAAATTAGCATTACTATCTATAAAAAATATTAAATATGATAATCTAAGGCGAGAACAATTTATTTTGGTGTTTACATTACATTCCTTCTCAAAAGAGGGGTGAAAAAATGGAACATATGCACAGTAAATTTTAATAAAAGTTTTTCAATCGGAAATTATCGGTCAGACCTGACTCATCTTTTATGTTAGTTCTTTTTTTTCGGAATGTTTCAGTCCCTTATAATTTCTAAACTTAATTCCGTTTGGCATTACCAAAAAATCATATATGTATATCAAAAATTTTTTTCTGAAAGTGGAAAGAAATAAAAGAGAAGGGTGATAACATAAACTACCGAATCGAATTGGTCTCACCTAATTTTAAAAACCTACCCAAATAATTTATAACATCAGAAAAGTATTTCATCCCATAAAAAATGAATTGCTTAAGTTCGAAAAATAGATGAATAAATCCAAGAATATTATAATAATTGCAAAAGGATATTTATCTCTTATAAAAGATGAACTAGTCACAATTGAAAAAACTATCATGAATATCATAAAAAATCCCCACATTATTGCATGATACATTAAGCCAAAGGTTTTCCATTTAAAGTCCACAATTGCTTTTCCATTATACCTATATTATTGAGTGACTTCCATATTGATAAATAAACTTGCCTTAGGTTTATATAATAACTCTTTTCAAAATGAATATTTCTCCAGATAAACACATATATTTGGAAAGGGAGCAATCAGATTGATAGTAGATTGAGATATTCTTTCCTTTAAAAGACTTTTAATATTTTGTAAAATGGAAATTTGATTCAAACTTTGTTTTTCATTTTCCTCAGCTTCCTCACATATAATAAATTTTGAAGTAGAAACCTTATTGCAAATAGGATCCAAAACAATTGAAAATGTTTTTATAAATTTTTCCACAGTTGAAGGACTAAAGGTATTTAAATCTAATAAATGATATACAATAGGTTCTAATAATCGCAAATTAGTGAGAGAATTTTGTTTATAAAGATCAACATATCTATTATAAATTAATTCCGCAAAAAATACATTTTTTCCCTTTATCACTTTAGCGAATATATTTTTCATATGGTATGCTAGTATTAAGGTATCATCTAAGATATATTTGAATGTATCGAAATGCAGTTCTAATTTATTAACATTGCTCTAATCAAATTTGAGAAAGTTTTTGATAATTTCATTTTTTTTTCATCATGCTTGATTTCCATTTTTTCGTACACCTTACCTATAAAAAATTTACTATTAAATTTTTCATTGACTTTTCCATACATATCTAATGAGTATATATAAAAACTATCTTTAGTTCTTAAAAGTAAATCCACATTTCTTAAGAAACCATATGAAATTATATCGTTAATGTTAACTTCTTTAGCATCTGACTTAGCTTCAAACTGTAAATGAGGATTGGCAGTTTTTATATAATTAACAATCTACTTAATTGATCCTTCGTATTCTGATTCAGTTTTAAGTGTGCCATTCTTAGTTGATACTTTGTATTTTTCGGGTGTGAGAGTTTGAATGTTTTCACCTAATAATTTTTTCAATGCTCCACGGATATATAAAAAGACACTACTAAAACTTTTTAAATAGTTATAACTAAATTGATTCTTTATCAAAAATATTATAAAAACGGGAGTAAGAGTTTGTTACTGCTATGAGTTTGTTGTTCTATATTTGAAATTTCTGAAAACAATTTGGTCTGATGGATAAATATTCTTTATATATTCTGGTGTTACACCTGAACTACACCTCTTAATAGTAGTTCAAGAAACGTAGCGGTTATAGTATGAAGACTATGACCTTGTGATTTAGTCAGGTAAGGGCGTCGGATATACGACTTAATAAAGAGGTTTTACTAGGCTTTATTGAAAGAGGCAACAACTAAATGTATATGAGGATACAAATAGTTGTAATAACTATATGATATAATAGGTAAGTACTTTAAGGTGTATATTATGTAAGCTCACGGACATCAATGTCCTCAAAAGTATGTGAGGTATTATATGTTTCAACGAATAAATATCGATCGTGAAGGCCCTTCACGATAGTCACGTGATCAAGTCCGTTATGTCACTTAACGGTTGGGTTTTTTAACTTAATGTGTATAAGAACATGGTTAACTTTATTAATATCGAGTGGAAAGTACTAAAACTAACTGACTATCTCACTCTTGGGAGAATAATAGGGCTATTTATACATGTTTGAGCAGACTATGACATACAACACTTTGGACTTTAACATCTGATAGTAGCCTTATCTATCACTAATCTAAGGATTTCAATGTGAAAGTAAATGAGAATCTACAATAGAGCAACAACACGATGCAACATGAGATTACTCATATGAGATCTAAGAGATCTTTGATCGATCCTTGAATATCTTTACGTTGTGTTCAAAACCAAGAGATCGATAGCTTATAAAATTAGGTAACAAAAATCCTATGTAACACTGGTTATATCGTTAACATTATGGACATTATGTGGATCCATTAAATTGAACATAAAATCATCACCTTTGGTGGAACCTTTCCTTTTTATGATAACAAATAAATACTCTATAACATTATTTGTATAGATAAAGTTTGCACATTCGATAAAATCATCGTCTGTCTTGTCTAAATGATAAAATAAAAGATTATAAATAACATGAAACATCAATAATGACAATAATAAATAATAAACACATATGTGATGATAAAAAAATCTCCAATTCCATAGAACCAATAAATATGTAATGATCATTGTAGACTAAGATTAACATTTTATATTTGTTAACTTCTATCTTAACATCCTCACAATTAAAATCTTTTGGCAGATGAAAATTAATTTTGGATTTAACAAATTCTTTAACCCAAGATGTTAAAATTCCATATTCGTCAATTACGAATAAATCCGTATGCTTTAATATTATTGTTCTTAAATTCCTATAGACATATAAAGTTTTGGTGAGGATAAATTTATTTTTTTCCTCATTGTCTTGAGCAAATAATCTAAATTTATTATCGTCTTAAAGTAATAAGTTTTCATTAAAAAAAATTCCATTTGGATGACTGTTTTAATTTAAAATTTTTGATCATTTTCTGTTCTAAGATCTATGCCAAAACGATCTAAAGGAAAATAATATTACTAAAAATTAATTTATTAACATCATCAAAAATTTTTAAAAGCTTGGATTAACTTACAAAATAGTTTAAAAATTGATGGTAATCCAGTTTCCTTTCCGCTCAATATTAAATGGTTATTGTCTTCAGAAAGTGAAAAATCTATCATAAATTTCAGCACTTTGTCAAGTTTGTACGAAAATCAAATTTTTTGTAATCAATTTCAAAATATTGATGATTATTTAAGTGCTTATGAATATTATCGATGGAACATCCAATCAAATAAATGTGCTATGGATAGAAGATTCTACCGCTTCAAAATTGTCTGATTGTTTTTTAGAAGGTGGATCTGCTTCATCATTTTTATTTATAGCATCGTCTGAATCAATGTTAATTATGTGTTGTTCTTGATTCATTTTTTAGTTTTTTTTTTTTGCATCATAAAAAGCTTAAAGATTTAGTTTGGTTCTATTTTCACTGTTGATTTCAGGAAAGTGAGATTCTCAATGAAAATACTAAATATCAAATATCAATCTTCAATGATACTAAATTCCTAATCTTAATTCTCTTCACTCATGTGAACATGCAGTGGAGCACGAAATCAATAACTCAAATAGATACATACTAAGTAAGGGTGAAATCACATAATAAGTCACACATGCACATCGCTCAAAGTCGTTAGATAATATCTATTTCTTTTTTTATACTACATGCTCTACAATGATTTATCTCTTATGTCATTGTTTATCCACCACAACATCACGATATCCTTTAACACGTCGCTTAATCAAGATACACAGTAAATGATCAAAATGTAACTAAATACAGATCATGGGCCAGTGTTTAAATTGGTATGCACAAGATGCATATGAAATATTTTGTAAAAATAATTTATGCAATTATGTCGTAAAATTAAAAAAAAAAAAAAAACTGCACAAAAAGTATACGTACTTATTGTTATTTTTTTTATTTTTTATTTTTTTTTTAACAATTTTTTTCTGAATTATAGACACTGCGTACCCCGCTTTGCATTAAATGTATGCAATACTGGACAAAAATTATCAAAATGATAATTTGGAAATGAGCACGTGTCACGAAGCGGGCATGTCATTTTAGAGTTGGGATCCTTTGAATATCTATCACAGCTATTTAATAAATATTTCACGAATTTTAGTCATTTACGAATGATACTGAATAAATATACAGATTTTACATGGATATTCAGAGAATTTGCAGATATCATAAAGATTTGCAAGTATTCAGAGAAATCTCAAGGAATTCGTGAGTATTCGCAGTTGTTCAGAGAATCTCACGTGATTACGTTTCTCATATTCATCACACAGATACTGTATCAAAAATATTCGCACAGATTATTCCTTTATTCTGATTCAGCTCATCTTACTGATGCTTATTTCGTAGATATAACATTTCACCGACAACATATTATTTCGCCGACAATTATTTTCGATTTCACCAACAAAATAATTCTGGTCATTGCCATTAGGGTCAGGCTAGAATTAGAGTTAAGGTTAGCGGAATTTATAAAAAAAATTTGTCTATGAAATGAGCTTCGGTGAAATAAATTGTGAAATCAACTTGTCGGCGAAATAATTATCGGTGAAATAAACATGTCGGTGAAATGTTATTGTGTTGTGACGCGACAAAGTTTCACAATTAAACTTTGGTTGTGTAACTGTTATACTTTTGTATACTTTTGCATGTAACAATTTAATAGTTTATGCGAAGTATAAAGCATACCTTAATTAGTCTTTAAGTATTTTTAGGTATATATAGCACGTTATGTATTTTAGTTGGGAATTAGTTTTTGAGAGAGTTCTAGGATTTTAGGGATTTAGTAGATTTGTATTTTGGGTTTTAGTGCGTTGGGTACGTACTAAGTTGGGTAGTTGGATAAAGGTATTGGTTACTTTAGTGTCTGGGACACAATAGAAGACATTGGTTTAGTACTTTTGATACCTGGAACGAGATAATAAATCCCTTTAATGTTGACGTCCCTGAGTTAAATCAATAACGATATAACAAAGTCTCTCCCACTGGACGTCACACGGGGTAATGTGAGCAGTTATCGAAAACGTGATCGAAATCATATGACTCGGAACCCAAATGCGCATTGATCGACAAAACGAAGGCATTTAATATTGCTAATTCGGGTTTGGCTTGAGGAGATGCTCCATTGAGAATAATAGTAAGGCGTCTCTGGTATTCACATCGTGGGAATTAAAGTCATTGTAATGTAAATGTGTATGAATTCTTAACATTAACCATAGAACCCCCGACACTCTAAATAGCCATATTGCTTGCAAGATCTTAATCGCAGTAGAAAAGCCCCAATGCTGTTTGTAATGTATAAAAGCTATTGATTTCACGCAACTAAATGAAGAGTGATTGGCCAGTGAAATTTTTTAGGTTGGTAACGCTAGGACAGTTGCTGATCAGTATGATATAGCGTTTAATTTCGGCCTATACTATATTGATTTGCTATAATTTCAAGTCGATCTATTAGCAGATTGGGAATTTTGGAGCCCAGAGGGCCGTTCATTATTGCTAAATAATTGTCTTTCAAATGATAGTGAAATTTTTCTTAGAAACACGATAATAAATTTTATTTATTAAAAAAATACATTTATTTAATTAAAAAATATGTTTATTTACAAGTAAAAGTGTAATCTATAGTTATGTATAGTAACTGCATTTTCGCCACCTTTTATTTTTTTCAAGTCTTTTTTTGAAATATAATAAAGATTATAATACCTCTTGGGTTTATTGGTTTTGTCCTTGAACTTAAGTTGAATAGTACGTTAGTATGGATACTTAAAATAAAAAATTGACGATAACAAAAATAAAAAATTGACGATAACAAAAATAAAAAAAATTATATACTTTGACTTTGTAAAGATTTAATTTCTTTTTTTAATTTATCATTCTCCTCTGCTAGCTTGCATTTTCATCAGCTAATTTTTCATTATCGTTTTTTTGATCACTATGCTAACAATAGATGCAATTGTTAATTTGGTTCATAGCCTTTGCAAAAATTCATACTGATGGACTTCGTTTTTATATTTTGTTAATCGACAATTGCTTCTCAGTCTTTTACAATTTTTCGAATTTTTTTAAATTTTTGTATAAAATTTATTTCATTAATTTGTTTTTCCTGTAGCTGATTTTC